TTTCCCAAACAAGAAGATCACGGTCACAGAGAAATTAAAACCTTCCAACATCAATAAAAACATAAATCTGATCTCACAAAAGTAACTAATCCAAGTTTAGGTATTCTCACATTTCCCTCGAATACGCCTGGTCTGACGCGTGTGTGTGCGTTTTTTCTGTTTTTAAAAATACCAGTTCATGTGTGGGAAACCGTGAACACAAGTTTGACACATCTGGCCTCCTGCTGTGTTGTTCAGCCTGCTGTTAAACAACAGTGATGGAGGAGAGATAAAATCTAAGTCTACAAGTATTGTCTATTATTATCCTGTGCAGCTGCAGGAGGACATTTTCACTCAGCTGTGAGCTGCTCTGCAGACGGGAGGAAACTGAGAAAGGTATATTCTGTATGAACTTCATTAAGATATGTTGTTAAAGTCCTGTTTTGTCAGCACAGATCATTATTATAGATCATTATATAGATCATTCCTTGTTTTTCGAACACAGAAATTAAAATCAAATCAAAGGAAAATCTTGTTCTTGTCCTGACGACCACAATCCTGAAATTCAAACAGCCTTTGAATCCAGTGAGTTTGTGTGTGAGGTGGATCATAGCGCGTCTCCGTTCTTCTTGGTAGTTGTAGTCTAATGTGTGACAATGAGACAGCGCCTGGATGCAGGTGACAGATGTGTTAAAAAAATGCAGCGACAACACAGACTTTTCTTAAACAGGAAGAATATAACGAGGGCAAAGTGTCTCTGTCTCTGTCGCTCCCTCGGCCTCTCTTGATGCTGATGATCTTCACGCTCGTCCTGTCCTTTACAAGAAAGGCAAAAATGCCATAAAAATAATTCCTTAAAGAAGTTTTCCACCCTCGCATAAATACACATCTTCTCATTTCCTAAATTTTAACAAGTAAGAAAAAGCTGTCAGCTAATTGGTCTTTATTGTGAGCAGTATAATGTGTATCAGTAGCAGCATAATATTTTATTTCTTTCCATTTGTATCAGAGTAATTAAACTGAATATGAACATACACCACGTTCATTTCTGTTTTCCCATCATTTATTGTTACAATCATCTGATTTTCTGACTTGTGTTTCTGGATGTTTCTGTCCTCTAAACGACTCAATTGTTGGATAACATTCCTACAAATCCTCACGTCTTGCCAACAAATCTTGTGTTTAACACCCAGAGACGTGGCGAGAGAGAACTGAGTAAACAAAATGGACTAAGGGAATAATAACAAGCAAAATTATATTCTCACAGCGTCAGACAAACTGTGGACTAATCTAAAAATGCTGTCTGGCCTCTGCCGGCTGCTGGGAACTCAGATTTTGTGACCCAATATGGTGGCAAAGCAGCAAAGTCACAGCAACTGGTCATCAGTCACCGCTCACACTCTGCTGCCGTTTGTTTGCACACACACATACACGTACACATACACACACACACACACACACACACACGCAGAGGAAATACGGGAGGAATTTAATGACATATTTAAAAACAACATGACCTTTTTAAATTGCCTCCAGAGCGATGAGCATCCTCGTGTGTGCAGGTGGAAGGAAGCTATTTAAGCCTTATATTAATCATGCAAAGGCCAGCGCGCAGTGCTAACTCATAGCTGTGCGTCGTATCGACAGCACAGCCACATCCAAACACACCTGCTGTTTATTCACTGGGGGCTCAAACTGCTGGTCTGAGGGCACCAACCCCCCTGACATGTTTAATATTTATCCTTAAGTGAAGTTTCATATGGAAGACAGTGTTGGAGCTCTGAGGGCGGGTTGGTTGGTGCTGTTGAGACGATCACACTGTGGGTCTGAATGAGACTTAGAGCCAGCCTGCAGACATTTATTGACGTTTGGAATCTTCTTTATTTTAGTGATTATTTACTTTCATAACAAGGCTGCAGCCCAAAATTTGTTTTTTTATTTCACATTTAATATCATTAAGTTGAGCCCCACTGTGCAGCCTGTCAATATGAATGCTTCAGTTTTACTGTGGAGCATCAGACAGCAAAATAAAGCTTTACCTGGAGGACAGACTTCAGCGTAGGGCTGTGCCTAAAAGTTCAAAGCTTCATTATTAATGTTGACATTCAAATTCTAAATCAACATTCGAATGATGTGCGTCTGTTCTTTAACGGGACATTCGAGCAGCAATCTAACATTCATTCATTTTCCACAGCCGCTTATCCTGTTAGGGGTCACATTCACACCTACGGACAATTTAGAGTCACCAATTAACCTGTATGTCTTTGGACTGTGGGAGGAAGCTGGAGCACCCAGAGAAAAGTCACACTGACACGAGGAGAACATGCAAACTCCATTCACCCACAGTGGGGTTTAAACCCCCTACCCAGGGTTCGAGCCATGAACCCTCTTGCTGTGAGGCAACAATGCTAACACCGGATTTCCACTGGATGCGTGTCCGTTGCAGAACGGCAGCGCTGGTTATCTGCTGCATGCTCCGCCGTCCGTCAACACCCACCGGCTGCGTTTGCTGTGCGGAGCAGTGCAGCTCCGCCGGAAGACATCTTGGTGCACTGTCATGATTAACATCTCCTCGTCCATGGTGTTCACGGGGTGAAATGACGTCTGAAAACCTCTGACCTGTTGACTTCAGGCCTGCCTCCGCCCATTATGTAGTTTTCAAAGTGTAGTGCAGGGAAATATGATCCGCTGTGAACACTGTGTATTTTATTTTGAAAATTAACCGGATGTTTTATTTTGTTTCTGTGCACGACTTCCTGCCCGCACGATCTGCTCTGTGCGGAATTGCTGCGTTGTGCTCCGGCGTCCGGCAAAAATAGAAGTCCTGCGTATCTGTTGAGGAGGGCTCCGGACTGCCGCAGCTGAGACGGAGCCGGAACGCAGCACAGCCGCAGCTGGTGGAAACACACACATTGACTAGAATTGAATCCTATCGGCTCCGCTGCCGTGCCGGAGTGCAGACGCAACCAACACGCATCTGGTGGAAATAGGCCGTAAACACTGCACCAATGTGCTGCCCGGCAATCTAACAGCACCATCAATTATATTTATTAATCACATAAAGTTGATTTAATGCAAGTAACTGTACATATTTCTTATGTTTACTCTTATTCTATTTTGTTTTATTTTAATGATGTATATATCGTAGTTAAATTTTCACACTTTCAGCCTCAGCACAGTGACGATATATATTTCATTTTATACACTTTTAATATCTTAAGTACTAGTGTTAAACACTGTAGCACAAGGCACATTTTTATTTCCATTCTATTGCTTTACATTTACATACTTCTATTTCTATTTCTATTCTTATTTCTTATAGTTCTCTATTCATACATCGATACATAAGAGCAACTGTAACGCATCAAAATTTCCCATCATGGATCAAAAAAGTATTTCTGATTCTGACTCTGATTTGATGAAAGATAAATAACTAATTCAGTCACATTTATAATTTTATTCAAATTTAGAATTTTATTTGAGATTGTTTTTTAAAAGATTATAGGCTGATGACACTGTATAATATACTTATTCAAAAATCTCAATAAATGTTTTGAAAACAAGACCAGGTCAAAATTTTGCATGTGGTTTGAAATGCTAGAGGGCCTTTAATTTGAAATTTGAGGTTCAAAGACAAAACAATCGTCTTGTGCTGGACACATTTTCCCCACAAATACAACATGCTAATATTATTAGCATCAGCCTATGACTATTCCCATTGCCTAAATTAGCCTAGCAGCTAGCGGAGTTTTCCTCGACTCTTACGAAGCCAGGTTTAATCACACAGGACTTCAAGAGCTATCTTGTTGGGGATTTGTTGTCTTTACAATTTATTCTTTGGTTTCTGTGAAATAAAAGTAAATAAAACTTTGTCTCCACTGAGAGAAATGGTTTCAGTTTACAGAAATAACTGTCAGCGCCTGTTCATTTTGAAAGAGCATCAGTCACTCTGACCAATAGTAAGACTCACTCATTCACTGACTGACTGACAGACTTTGGCAAAAATGATTGTTACAGCTCTGCCTCAGTGTGACTGTTTCCTGCCTGTAATGCAATTTATTTTTTATTCACATGATGTTCAAGTGCCTCCTGGGAGACACCAACCTGACCTAATTTGAGTTTGATACCTGTGAGTGCAGCACAGGAGGATTTGGGTCAAGGTATATAAAGGTGTAGTGTACAGCTGTGCCACAAACTGACATCTCTGGAGTAGATTCTACATATTTAAAGTCTGTTTAACTCCTTGTTTTCTGTGCAACATTTTATCTTGCAACACAGTGACTGACATACAACAGCTGTCGCGTAGTTTCTGACTCTGTCGTGGGCGAAAATAAAATTACTACAATGCATGCAAGTAAGAAAAAAACAACAACACTGTGAGTGAATCATCTAATTGTGTGTCGATCCAACACGTTCCCACAGTGTCAAACATAAGCCAGTAAAACAGAGTTGTATAACAGAAGGCTGATGTGGGTAGAAACATGGAAGTTTGTTATTTTGCAGCAGCTGGATTTGAAACCTCATCATTTCATTAACTATAACAAAGATGAACATTTATCATTTATCAGCTCTGTCTAGTACGAACTTTATACTCTGAGTGAGTGAAGCCGGGGTGTCTATTCTCAGTCAAGTGTTAAAACCTGTTTCCGTCACAAAACCAACATCTTGCACCACTTCCTCACTTGCACCAAACTCTTATCATGCCTCTGCTCACACTTATACCACAGGGTACAGATCATTTTGTATCCATGACAGGGCTATTTCTTTTTCTTTTTGCTATCTATTTGCAGCGCTGATGGTAATAACCTTTTTTTCTTTTTTTTTTTTAATTCCACAGAAACAGAGCAGCTGCTACAACTAGAAACACAAACCACACCACTTCCTGTTGCCAGAGGATTCACAAACAAATCATTATTCTGTGGCATTAGTTATCAATAAAGGAGAAAAACTATCATAATAAAACAAAAATGAATCAATCACAAAGGTGGTGATGTTCCAGTGTGCCTCGGTGTGACACTTACATCGAGCAGTGTGTGTAGATGCTGGTCCTGGAAAACACTGTGGAGGAAATCTAGATCCTTTTCACTGCAGTCTGTCAGAGCGTGGATCTCCTCTAAACTGTCCAACACCTGAGACACAGCCCCTGCAACACACACACACACACACACACACACACGACAGCCTTGGTTTGTCAGTCAACTTATGGCTCTCTGAATGTGTTTGCGGTGAGCATGCACATGCACAGAAACATTTAACCTCTCCGTATTTATAACTGTGGTGAACATTAACGGCAATTTACTACATACGGAAGGACATCTCTCAGCTACAGTTCAAGAGTAAGAAACATCATCATCACAACACACAGAGAACCACCGGATACGTACGTTCAGCTGCTAGTAGTCCTAACAGGTTGGGAGCATTAACAGAAACAAACACATGAACAGATTTTACAAATGAACACAAGTGTTAATATCAATGTTAAAATGAACCTATTGTGCTTTTCTTTCGTATATATATAATTTTACAATGTCAGATGTTCATATTAAACATGACCAACGTTTCAAATAATGAGGTAAATGTATGTAGAACTAATTCCTTGAGTGAGTAAAAAAACCTAAGGCTTCAAATCGTTCTGAACACTCTGTTTACGAGACAAGCCGACGTCAGCTTGTGACCGATTTCTTTATATTGTCTTCTGCTCCAGGGACGCTACTGTAAGTGTTTATGTTACATGCACTGCTACATGTAGCTACATGCTAACGTCAGGGAAACATTTATTATCGGTTGCCGAAGTTGTTAATTTCTCCCTGATTTCAGATCATATTTCTGCTGGAACATGTCCAGTTGTGTTGAGTAGAGCCTGATCTATATTGGAGTTTGGGGGCCAATGTCGGGTCTGATGTGAGGGAGTAAAACATTTCTGGTATCGATACATCGACCTATGCTGTTATACACATGCACACATAACATGCACACAGTAAAAATGTTTGATTTTCAGTATGGGTGTGGTCTAAGATCTCCTGAGCTCAAATATTTCGTTATTGTCACAAATAATGAGGCAATGTTTTTTCTAGATGTCATTTCAGGGTAAAAATACGTGACGTTAACTTTGGGAATGGAAGGCCCGATGCTACCCCATCGAGGTTAACTCCCGAGGATTTGCCGGCCAGTTGCTTTACAAAGCCCTTAGTTGCTGGGGATCAGAGCACTGCACAGCAAGAGAGCCATCAGGGGCATCACTAACGCTGCTAAGAGGGCGTCAAAATGACTGTGGATCAAAAGGGGCGATCAGTGGACCACACAAGCCACCCACACACGGGCTGGGGTCTGATCATCCCTGGCTGGATCGCCTGGGCGAGAGTGTGTGATGTTGAAAGACTTGAAACACCCAACGAACCTAGGTTACATCACTGATGATGTGTCTAGGTTGCACCTTAAGGTGTTTTTAGAATCACTGGAATATGTCTAAATATATACAGTTATTACAGCTTGATTTTGGGGTCTGTACGTGTCAGTCATTATCAGTAAATTATATATTCAGTCGTCATCAGTCGACAGTAGCTGCACTGTCCTGTAGAGATAGGACTGGCTATTTGATGTGTGACAAGGTTTCAAGGATTTGTAATAATAGTGATGGTGTGGGAGAGTGCCCCCTGCTGGATTAACTATGGAATGATTCCAGTTGTGCGTGTTATATTACTAGAAAATGTCCCAAGAAATTTTGTCTGGTGCTGCTACCACCAAAAAAACATCATGAAATGTAAACTGCGATTTCATGAAAACGGTTTTAGATTTCAAAATGCACATCAGGCTCAATAAAGTCCCAGCTCTTGTGAGCTATTTAACGTTTTAATAATTTTTCTATATTAAAGTACGGCGATTTGGTGTGGCCCCAAAGTGGAGTGGTTTTGAGCTTTGTTAACATTAATTTCCCAGTATTTTCTATAGGGAAATGTATCACAGTTTTTTGCAATTTTTTGAAAACAGCGTGGCAAATCTCTGTCAGTCATAGCGCACGATTCCCCACCATTTCACACATTTGGATTAATTTTTACGAATGTATTGGCAATGCTGCAAAGCTATAAGATATACAGGGCTTGAAGCAAGAAAAAATCCTGTGCCTGAAATTTTTTTAGAGGGCCTTCTGTGCTAGGGGGGTCCGGGGGCATGCCCCCCCGGAAGAAAATTTTGAACATTTGACGTCTAAATGAATTAATCTGGTGCACTTTGAGAGTATCAATCAAGTATCACATCAAGGAGCTAGAATAACAATTTCAAGGTTTTTAATAATGAAATATGAACAGTTCACCAAAAAAGGAAAATTTGGTCATCAGCTACTACAAAATGGTTGGGGCCAGGCAATTTTAGGCAACTCTGAGCAACAAGTGGCAGAATAGGAAGACAACAAGAACGCATTAAAATGTACATTTTACATCAGTTGAAGCTTGAACTCACGACCTCTGACACCAAGGAGCATCTTCTATCTGACTGAGCTAATTTACAAGTGACAACTCATTGGTGGCTTCATCGCATCGCCTCTTTCTCTTTCTGTATGTGTGAATTGCAACCCCCAACCTGTAGCCATTTCTCTCTCTCTCTATCTCTCTCTCTCTCTTTGTGTGTGTGTGTGTGTTTTCATCTCTCTCGTGTCTAGACCAAACTGAACAAATATTTATAGACAGACAAGCAACATCATAATTAAACAGGCTTTTATTTTTTAAATTTATTTTATTTTGAAAATTGGCCGGATTCTCTCGTCTTTTCTGTGTCCGACTTCCTGTTTGGTATGATCCGCTCTATCCAGCTTGAGGCGCTCACGGCTCGTGTGTAAAATAGACCAGATGCCGAACTGAAGCGCTGCAATGCACGAGCCTCCGCGGGCGCTCCGCTCTGCTCACCGGCCTGTGTGGACAGTCAGATAGGTTAACATGGACGCCGACTGAAAACTGCCTCCGCTGCTGGGCGCTGCGCTTCGGTTCTGCGCTTCGGTTCTGCGTCCGGTGTGTCCGTGGCGTGACTGAATGAGAGACTGTGAAAACTTTAGGCCCACCCTACTCTGCCTCTGATTGGCTAGAAGTCCTTGTTTACCTTGAGTAATGTGATACACCATTGGCAGTTGGAACTATCACTTTGCTTTGCTTTAAAACGACTGGTTAAATCACTGTTGCTACGGCAAGATGATAAAATATTCACGAGAAAAAAAATAGTCCTGCACCAGAATATCCCTGTGCCGGAAATCTGGCACCGTGCTGGAGAACTTCAAGCCCTGGATATATCTTTGTTCGGCAAATATCACAGATATACAGATTGAAAATTGGTCAGGCTCTAGTGTTTAGAAGCTTTTATTGTTGATTGTTACGCTATTCTTCGTTACAGTCATGCCCCAGCTGTGGGTACCCTGCTACATGTAGCCACAAGCTAATGTCAGAAAAACATGTAATCTTGGTTGTGGATGTTGTTAATTTCTCTTTTTGAATCATATTCGTGCTGAAACCCGTCCAGTCATGTTTTGAAAACTTTTATTGCAATTCTTTTAATAGTAAAAAGTGCCTCTATTCTCCGTTACAGTCATTCCCCGGCTGCGAGTACACTGCTACATGTAGCGACATGCTAACGTCAGAGAAACCTGTAATCTGAATTTGCTGATGTTGTATATTTTTCCCCAGATTTCGGAACATATTCCTGCTGGAACATGTCTCGTTGTGTTTAGAAGCTTTTATTGATGATTTCTTACGGTAGAAAGTGTCGCCATTCTCCGTTAGACTTATTCTCTGTCTACAATGATGGCGCAAACACCTGGAAACACTAACTAATCCAAGCAGACAGGGCTTTTTTAGGAGGGGGGCCTGAAGAGACAGATGCTAAAATGGAGTGTCTCAGACAGAGGGTGAATACAAATGTTCAGCAGAGACAGGATGAGGAAAATAAAGTGTGTTTTGATCATTAAAGCCTGTAAACATGTATTTTGGATTTCTACTAAAACAAGCATGAACCTGAAAATGAGCCTGATGGGTCCTTTTTAAAAACAGTTGGAAGCAAATATTATTTGAACGATGGGAAATAGAAATGTGTCTGCGTCCTGCAACTGAAACACAATAATGTTTCAATATTATTCCTTTTACAGCGTCTAGTAACCTGTGTAATGGATAAAATGTCAAACTGTAGAGAACAATCATCAGATCGCTGTGTGTGGAGCGTTTATGTTGTTGGTGCATTTAAGTGCAGCTAGAGTAGAGTCAGTTTGTGGTAATAAGAGTCTCTGCAGGGCCTGAGAGAGAAAAGCAGAACAAAAAAAACAACAACCAGAGGACAAACCAGAGGAAGGAAATCTGAGGGAGGAAGTGTGTTGAGGATGAAATGATAACACATTTAAGTGTTTAGTGTGAGTGTTTGTGTACCTGAGGAGGTGGGGTCTTCAGAGAAGTCGTGGAGTTCCTCGGGGGGGTCTCCATAGAAGGAATTAAACTTGTGACTGGACACTGCAGCCAGAACAGCCCCCTGAAACATCAAGAGAATTCACCTCGTCGTTGCAGACACAGTGATGTTGTCACCACAACAAACCTCAAATGTTGCAATATCTGAAAATGGATGCATGTCAGCACGTATGTGTGTGTGTGTGTGGACTGAAACCTTGAGCTTCCTCCTGGAGTTGAACTTTCTCAGCTGCTCCACAGTCTCTGGCAGGTGGATTTTGTAGGCATACCGGTCCCTCTCCTTGGAAATACAACACAGGAATAAAAGAATTACTGACACAAGTAAAGACGTAAAGGAGCTCTCCACTGATCTGACACATGAAGATCAGTTTACCAGTCATGACGAGCAACATGCAGCCTGTGAAAACAGTTTTATGATGCCTTCTTCCCCCTTTCATGTCCAGTCCTATTAGCGTGGGGCTTGTAGACAAACTTATAACAGACACCCTGTTTTGCAAACTGTGGATGTCACATGGTTGTTAACTAGTCAGGGAGTCTCATGGAAGACAGCACATTATGGGAAATATGGTGTCCAGCGTTGTTATAGTTTGATCCCTTCTAGACACTCGAAGTCAAGATATCTGGGCATCTGATGCATCAATTTTTCACTAATCTTTTTTTAATTTGTCACCGTCAAGTCCTCAAACTTCTTGGAAGTGCAATATTAAAAAGCTGGAATGTCCCTCTTAAAGAGAACTTTAGTGTCCCTGAAACAATGTCAGACTTAAGATGGGTCAAAATCGATACTGCAGAAACAGAAATATCCCATATTCCATGCAATCTTCTTTCTTGTCAAAACCAAAGGCCTGCATTACCCACAATGCAACATGATTACCCACAGTGTGGTCAGAGATTTGGGTGTGTTGAGCTATTGTAGCCTTGAGCCGCGACTCCGCAGCAGAGATGAGCAGCAGGCTACAGAGGTTTACGTCTTTCTAACTTCACAGTTGAAGTTTGTCATTTTTTTCGAGGGCAGGGGATCTTTAGGTGGAGATAGCAGGTCAACAGTAAATGCCACACAGAAGTGGTACATGTCACCTGAAAGCTGGGAACCTGAAGATTAATTTGAGATGCAGCTCAGCATTGTGTGTCAAGTTTTCTAGTCATAAAAATGTATAAACATTTGTGTTGGTTTGGTGCCTATTAAGACTTTGAAAGTTAGGAGAGTATAGCGGATCAGAACATCATGATGGAAGTATATGACGGCTATTCTCATGCTCAGTTATGTCTCCTGTGTTGTTGCAGCAGCTGTTGAGTCTATGCCGTTTGTTACACAGATGTGGTGCTAAATTTAAGCATTTTTCTACCAGCCAAAACGTAATGAAACAGGCCAAAATCTCTCCAAAACACCACATTCAGACACCAAGAACACCACAGAAAATCCATGATGTGATTGGAATCAAATTTTTCAATGTTTGGACATTTCTGTGAGAATAACATTTGTCTGTGATTGGATGGCAAGCACTTCTGTTCTGGAGACTGCTCAGAGACCCCTTATTGTCAGTATATCTATGAAGGCCATCCATCCTCTGAATGCTCAAGGTCTTGTGATTGTAAAGTTTCATGAGGCTGTGATTATCCTCAAGGTCAGAATCAGTCATTTTATGCAGTGAAATCAGTTTCAAAGAAATGGTCTCTACAATGAAATGACTGCGACACGGGCTGACACTATCACACATGAATAAAATAGGGCTCGCTGAATCCTCAAAAGTCTGTCAAACCAAATTTATACAATTCCGACTGTTTAGAGGCCAGAAATATTACAATACAATAGGTGAACATGTCATATTTGTTCTGTAGGCGAAATATGACAAACCTAAAATTTAGCCCAGCAATGGAACATTATTTAATCCCTTCCCAATGCGATAGCGTGACTTGGTGCCAAAGGATGTCTTAGATCTTCTAGTTTCATATGAGACCAGCTTTAAAACTTTAAGACAGTGATGTCGGCCAAATATGCAGGAGTACCTGGCTGAGTGTGAGGCTGCTTTCCCACCTGCCCTGTTTGGTTCAGTTCAATCGCACTCATGTTCATTTGCCCCCTCAGTGCGGTTCGTTTGGGCAGGTGTGAACACAGCAATCACACTCAGGTGTGCACCAAAACAACCGGACCGAGACCTTCTTGAAGAGGTGGTCTCAGTCTGGTTACAAACGAACTCTGGTGACTGCAGTCACATGACACATTGTTTGGGTTAAACATGAGCATGTTACAGTCCTGGAGGATTATTAATGTGCACCTCCTCCTGTACTGCCTTAATATGCACATTCAGCACATCCAATGCATCAAAACATTGTTTTCTAGTTGGAGCCGCGCCTCGTTTTCAAACTGTATGGTTTGACTAAAATGAACAATGACAGCAATATAGTCCACGATGAGCAGCGCTAAAATCAACCTGCGTAGTTGTCCCTCCATTGTGACATTAGAAAGTGTCACATTTATCTTGCAAGTGTACTCTTCTTTAAAGTTTGCTTTACTTCCTGGATTTTTCCCACATGGAAATTCTGACCAATCAAGAGCAGCTTTCTCACACAAGCCATTTGATCTGGTCCTCTTGTAAATGCTGCCGTGAGAACATGAACCAACTCTAGGCAATTATACAACTTTGGAACAACATGAGTCCCTGATTCAGACCAAAGGAGACGACTCTAGGGCTGACAGCAGCCTAAGAGGTTTTTAGTAACAATAAGACTCAACTATGTTGCTGCATGTTTTCTGACACAACTTGCAGAAAACTGGTCTTAGAGGTATTCAGAAATTTGTGAGTATGGTATACCACTGGAAATTTTCCTCCACCATTACCACGAAACCTGCCCAGGTCAGTGGAACATGTGCTTTCATTGAAGACCACACCTCTATTATGTTGTAAAGCTTGGAGTTATGACTATAAAGTTACTTACACGCATGTTTATAAAAGTATTTTTACGATCACAACAACAAATCACTTTAACCAACACCAGCAAAAACACACATTATGAAGAGTTTTTACTCACTGAGAAACAAAATTCAGAGGCCAAATAATCCAGTTCTGGCTACCTGTGGCACTGAAGAACATCATTTCTCTGTAACAAGCACTGCCACAAATACGTATGGGTGTAAACTGAGCACTGTGGTTGATGTCAGTAGGTCTAAGTGGTGACACTGCTGTATAATATGCAGACTACCAGGACATGAACCCATTTCCTCTTTTCGGGCAGCAGCTTTTTGACTGATGAATTCATGGGTATGTTGGTATTGCAGTAACTCTGCATTGCTGTATGTCCTGTGATGCTGCTTTCAGACAGTTGTGGTATTTCATCAGGGGCAAGTAGAAGTCAACACTCGAGTCTCATTACGCTGCTTCGGCTGGACCCCACTAACAGAAGTAGATCCGTCTAAACTTTCTGCAGTTGAGTAAGAGACTAAAATGCAGCATTGTGAGCAGGGATGTCCCTTAAAATGTGGAGATGTGAATGATGTGTCATACAGCCCCCAGACAGACTGCAAGTGTCTCAGTTGAATTGTCATCTTTAAGTGCCCCTCCATCACTGTCCAGAAGACGACACAATAAAAGCTTGTGCTGACAACACATGACAAGCGGTAACACCACTGTGCCGCTGCTCACTGTCACTGTTTTCCTGTGCGAAGAGCTGTGGCACCCGAGCGACTGATCATTACGTGATGGCTTTAGGCTACATGGGTTTACTATTCTGCTCTCGATTCAGTCTAAAACTTTAACAAAAGTCAAAACTTTGGATGCACGTCTCAGAGAATACCCACGCACCAGAGCAGGTGATATGTCATCAGATATATGAGTGGATGTTTGCCATGTTGCAGGCAGACATGAGGTGATGTAACATGGTTAACATTGACAGTGCAGCTGAAAACAGTCTTTGGTGATGGTGCATTCAGGTTCTCGTGATGTGTCAAAAACCCAGAGGAGTCAAACTATTGTATTAATCTGTCAAATCAGATTCGACACCGAAGAGCATGAACATGATGATAAAGTGTAAGTGAACGCTGCATTACCTTCAGCCAGGGGTGGTTAAGAGCCTCGTAGACGGTGATCCTCTCAGCAGGGTCCAGCATCAGCATGCGCCTCACCAGATCCTTAGCGCTCTCTGAGATTTGGCCCCATTGGCGCGGATTCATCTACACACACACAAATACACACAGACTTTTCAGGAATATAGCATTTTTCTAGGGCTGTCCTTTGGTTGCGACACAAGTATCTAATTCTAATCATCCACATATACCTGGTCTCTGTGCTGTGGTGCTTCATGCTGACACTATTTCAGCTACACATGATTTTAATTAACATTAAAAATGAGGTTATAACTACAGAGGATGTTGGCTGCGATAATGTCTGTTTATAGAGCATAAAAAAGGGAATGATTCATGTACTATAGATAGTGATAGTAAGAAAAGAGTGACACACAAAGGTCACAGATTCACTGTGTGCACTTTAAAGGCCCAGACACACCAAATTGACATCAAAGAACTAGTGGTGTTGAAGGCTGACTATTGTGTCACCTCACATTGCCTGTGTCTCGGCCAAAAAGTCGCATATGAACACACCTCAAGGACTACATTCAGTGGCCAACCTGCACATATGTTCCGCACCTGCGTAAGAGGAAGTAACTCTCCACTCCAGCAAGTGGCGGTGGTTTATATTCGTCATTCAAAAAGGGAAACCACAAGACCAGCTGGATGGATTCAAGATGCTAGTTAGCCAGTTAGCATATTAACAACACAACCCAGAGTTGAAAGAATAAAGCATATTTACTGTGCGCTAGCAAACAATAATATAAACCATCATAACACGTTTCTGCTAAAGAGCTCAATGCCTAATATAACAAGTTTGTTGCAATCTCACCCCTCTTAACTTAAGTTCTTTGTTTGCTTTCCTCACTTCATTCACATCAGGCTCCTACATCTACGACACAGATTCAACATTCTGAATCCACCAAATAAAGGGACAACATGGGTCAACGATGAGGGACACATCACAAACCAGGGCGAAAGACACACACCGATGGCCCAATGTTGACTAACAGCCGACCATCTGCTTGTTGTGTCAGGGTCTTATGACGCTCGAGACTCAATGTCCCCTACTTCACAGATAATTCCAGTTTACTCAGGTTACATTTCTGTAGTCTCAGCCATTGTTCCTATTTGTAATAATAATGTCTTGGGAGTTGTTTCCTGATATCCGGGAGCTCAACTATGAAGAAACCCAAAGACGGTATAAAAGAAGTGGACATATCCTTCCAATCTGAAAAGTGAAGCCAATGCTGAAGTGCTTTAGAATTGCATTCTTCCTAATGGCCAGCAGGGGGCGACTCCACTGGTTGCTAAACCAAGTGTGATTGCACAGAAGTCAATGAGAAAATGAACCAACTTTTCACTGTACTTACTACTTCAGTAAATATTTTCCTAATGAGTTTATGGTCCCAATCTCTAGTTTCAAGTCTCTTCAATAGAGCACAACGTTCATTTAGTAAATTATGATCTAATTAAGAGTAAAATAGACCATAAAGAAGGGAATGCTTTATGCACGTCAGTGAATGAAATCCCTCTGATCGGCAACTCAGTGAGGAGAAGAGAAACGGAAGTGAGGAAAGTAAACAACTTAAGTCAAGAGGGCGTGAGATCAAAAGAATCCAATCATGTGAGGTAATATTTTTTTTGCCATTGAGCTCTTCAGCAGAAACAGTTCTTAATTGTTTGTGTTCTTGTTTGCTAGCACATGGTTAATTTAATTTGTTCTTTCAACATCGAGTTGTGTTGTTAATGTGCTAACTGGCTAACTAGTATCTTGAATCTGTCCTGTTGGTCTTCCTGTTTCCCTTTTAGAGTGACTAAAACAGACTTCCCCCACCACCTGCTATTTCCTCTCAGGCAGGTGCAGAACATACGTGCCAGTTGGCCTTTGGCTAGTTTTTGCGGTGTGCTCAATGAAACTTTTAAGCTGAGACACAGGCGATGTGAGGCGATGCAACAACGGCCTTCGTGTGTCTGGGCCTTTAGGGGGTGGCGAGGATATCCTCCCCGCTCCACTGTCTTGTCCAAATTTGGTCACTTCTAGCTTCAAAAATCCAAAATAGCAATGATCAAAATGCCAAACTCAGGGCTTCAAAACAGGAGTCCACAGAGTAATGGGTGACATCATGGTGGCTACGTCCACTTTTATCCAGTTTATGGTAAAAACAGAATTATCTAAACCACTTTTTTTTTGTGAGTAAAAACAAAAGACAGCGCACCCAAAACCTCAGCAGTAAAGCTGCATTCACACAACACTGGCATGACAGGAAGCTGGAAGTGCTCCCTTGTGCTAAATTTTCAGTCACACCAAATAAAATGCCTAAAACAGCTACTTTTGTTATGTATTTGTAGCAGTTTGTTACCAAATGACACCAGATACAAAAAGTGTTTAGCTTTAAAATATTAGCTGAATCAGTTGTATGTCGGATTTATTCTGATGTAACTGCCAGCAGCGTTGCATTTGAAGCCGTTCTGCCAACAGTTTGTTGACCTGAATGTAGATCTTTTCACCAAGTGGGAGATATGAACACTGTAGGAAATTCCTGCGAATGTTTTGTCCCACTTGGCAGCTTGTAATTATGGTAAAACCAAATGACGTGTCCTTCATTGTAAAGGGGAAATGTTCTGTGTCTACAACTGCATCAAGTGTTGTATTTAGAACCAGGAAACTGATGTTCACAACCAGCAGTCTGTGTAAAACATCATACTGTTCACCTTGTTTTCTCTGCCAGATGAGTTGGACTTATCGGGGAGTTTGTTTAAATCCTGTCTATTTTACAATGTTCCCAGATCTCAGTCCATTACTCAGAGAGCACAATGTTCTGTTACATACAGGAACTACAACCAAAACTATGACTGTAACATAAAAGTTTATACTGGAACAGAATTGTCTTTTAATGTGCCGACATCGACTAACGCTGAGCTGTACAGCTTTAAAGGAAAAACATGCAAATCCAATTAAAGTGTGGGCTGTCCCTTTTTAGGTGGAGACTCTTGAGTTTAATGCTTGAAACCACACATTTAAAAACTTTTTATTGCCCTCAGAGACTGCGGAGGCTCTTTGAACGACCTCCTGACCTTGTATTTGCCCTTGCAGATGGCTTCGAACAGACGCTCCTTGGTGCCGTAGAAAGGCAGGCAGCCTGAGAGGAGGATGAAGAGGATGACTCCGCAGCCCCACACATCCACAGGTTTACCGTACGGCTCTCTCTTCACCACCTCTGGGGCCATGAAGTGCGGAGTTCCTACTCGACCTGGGGTCACAAAGACAGAGCGGTGTCGGTGTCAGATCATGAGTGTATAAACGTCTAGATGTTAACACACACACACACAAGTAATAATAATAATTTAAATGTTTGCAGCCTCTGAACGAGAAAACAGAAGTGTTTCTGTGTGCACTTTGTGAGGATATTTGTTTCCTAATTTGAATGCAGTGTTACACGAAAGAGGAAACAAACCTGTTGTGGCTTTGTTTCTTATTTCTCCACACCAGCTGAACGACGACAGTTTTCACACCCAGTTTCAAAACACAACTTCAATTCCTGGTTGTGAAAATGCAAAGTGAAGTGGACTTTTGCTGCTTTCCTTTGTAAAAGGTCACAACCATGATTTTCTTTCTGAGTCAAGAGTTATTTTGATCTTCAGGTCTTTATGGTGTGCCTGAACTTGCATGCGAGCCGCTGCTCAGTCCCATTAGGAGTACTCAATACATTTCTCTGTACCAACTGTAATCACTGGGTAACTTAAGAGTGCTGAGGATGGGACGATATACAATTTTACTGCAGATTTAAAAACAGTCACGATAAGTTGACTGTGGGGAATTTCCATTATCGGGCTAATCGTGAATATTGTGTCCAGCAGCATCCAAAGGGAAAGCTGGACAATGGACAATAAAAGAGGTCTTTAATGATCTTAAATCTTAATAGATCTTAATCAAACATCGACTTATTTCATATTGAAGATATTGGCCTCTAGTTTCCCGGCGCGGCGCAGGGTGACGCAGGGTGGCGAACCCCGCGCAGAGCTAGTTTCAAGCAGCGCAACCTGAGGCGCGCTCAGTTTGGTAGTTTGGCAGACCGAGGTGCGCTGAGATGGGTGTGGCGGCGCAGCAGGGGGAGGTGTCGACAGATCCAGCTTGGTGCAGTGACAGTTTCGTGCCAAAAGGCTTCACCGAAGGTGCGCTAAAAGCTCGCCAACTGCAACCAGGTCTACTGTCAGCGCAGGCGGAGCGCAGCCGGTGTAGTGGCAGTTTGGCTGACTGGCGGACAATGCACACACGGAGGCAGGTTTCCAGAATGTCAGGCACATTAACGATGCAATAAATACCCACAAAACCACTATTCAATGCAACTATCTGCAATCAGCACATAAATGTATCTCTATATCGACTGTCCCGTCACATCTGATGTCAGATCAAAGGGGATTGGCACAGTTTGGCACGTTTGGCACGCGTAATGGAAACCCAACCTGATTTGATTAAAACAGCTGCGAACTAATGAGTTCACATCCCTCTCAGCCAACCACAAACAGCCACAGCATCAGATAGGGAGTATATATTCAGCAACTGTCATCTTAGAAAAGTCAAAAGAAAAGAAACAGAGTGAAACTGCGAGAGAGAAAGAGAGCGCGCGCACGAGAGAAAGGCAACATTGATTTACAGTTGTGGTGACCTCCTCCCAGGCTGCCTTTGCATCATCAGCCCGTGGAGGTCTGCTGGCAGTTCTGTATATTCGGACACTGCCAGCTTGGACCTCCCGGACCAAAACATCAGTTTCCTCCTGGGAGAAGTTTGGCCGTCTGACGCTGCTGCTCTCTTCTGCCATGGCGAATTGAGTAAACTCTCATTACGCCTTCGCGCGGCGCATTTAAGGGAGAGGAGAGGGGCTCATTTGATTGGTGTGATGTGTGTAAAACCCACTCCACGCCTTCTCTCCTCCCTCTTTCCGACTTGCGCTGGTAGGAGGGATGGAGGTGGGAAGGAGGAGTAGCTGCTGCAGCGCGCACAGTGTGCCAAACTTGCAAAATCCGCCTGGCCACACCCAGTTGCCGAAGCGCAGGTGCGCTGCACCCCCGCCTCGCCCGGTCTGTGAAACTAGAGGCCATAATGTCAGTTCAAATGGCTGGAGGCGTGTGTCCTATCCGTGATGTGAGAAAAACAATTGTGTCTTAACCAGAGGTGAGGTAATGTGAGTTTGGACAGTTAAGTCATTTGTTATCACCACATCTGGACTCATAAAAGAGAAACATCTCCCACTTTGTGAGTGCAGAACAAACTTAACAGAATGATGTAACAGATGCTGAATGTTGTGAAGGAACAGACGGCTTAAATCCCTAACGCTTTATGTGATAGCTAACACTGAATGGGAAAAAAGTTACATTAATGTTTGTACAATATACTATATGATGTTCTCAGTCAGTGGCGGAGCAACATCCTTATATCGTTAAATATTACTTTATTTATTCTTTAATCAGCTCAGCTGTGTCAAAAATGTTGTGATGGAAACAATACAACAACAGAAAACATTAAAGCCATCAGGTGAGAAAGCTCATCAAATATGTTGTTGTAATGTCAGCAACTGGTGCTGGTATGTTCTATTCAGTCCTGTTTTTATCTTTATTTCTTTACATTTTGTCAGATTGGCTCCATTAAAAGTATGCTGAATTTGCTGTCTGCAGCTCCTGTTCAGATCCCATCTCCTCCACAAGATTGCTATGGAGACACAGTGCTTGTGTCTCGGTACTGGCGCCCCTTTGCCACACATGACCACAAACTGCTCTGTACAACACCATTGTGTCTCGGTACTGGCGCCCCTTTGCCACACATGACCACAAACTGCTCTGTACAACACCATCCGATACCTCCAAGGCTGCCTGGATCGAGGCAAGATGGAGGGACCAGTGGAAGTCAGCAGAACCATCAAGGCTCCACCTGCCCCGAAAGCAATGGAAAACCCTAATCGCCTGAGGAAAGACGCAGGACGCTTCGGGGCAGCATTGCAAAAATGGGGTCTCGTGGACACCCTGGACAATGAAACACTGGACTGGCTTGCCTCAACGGAGCTGAAGGTCTCAGGACATACGCCAGAAGAAGAAGAGGATTGTACCCATGGATGTACGGACAACTATCACTGGATTAATTTGATATGAAGAAACATTTATTATTCTCAGTGAAGTCCTGAAGCGCATCTTTTTACTAAGATTTCCTAACAGATTTATGGAGGTTTCTTCACGTTGGACACCAGAGACAATGATATCCTGGAGAAGTAGAAGTCACATTGAATAATACATACATATACATTTATACGTGTGTGTGTTTCACGTGTGATTTTTAACTCTAATTCCCCTCATGCAGTGTCTTCCTCTGCACCCCCTTGGGAGGTTCTAGGCTTTCTCTTTCTGAGTGTCTATTTCAGACCATATCCTGTCATTTCCCAGTGGTTAAAATTAGTTAAACTACTGAGGAGCACAGTGGATATTTTATTCCCCACCTACCTCTGTAATGTTAATCCCATTCTGGTGGAAGCTTCAGACACTTTTTATTTCTTTATTTAGCTTTAATTAAACCTGAAAGGTCCCATTAAGATACAATATGTCCTTTGCCAGGGAGTCCAGGTAAAGATGGGCAGCAAATATTACAAACTTTCAAATTCATGTACAAATGGGGACTGACAACACTACAGGAATCAGGCACTAAAAAGAATCAAATAATGGCACTTGTTAAACGCAGCAACACTACTCTGTAAAAACTGATTTTATAATACTTTTAAAAATGTCAGGAGAGGGTAAAATTTCCAGATTTAGTGTACCGTGCAGCTCATTCCAGGCTTGCAGGGCGTGAAAGGAAAAGGTGGATTTATCCAGCTGTGTTCGGGCAGTAAGGACCACAAGGAGAATTTTTTCCGATGACCTTGTGTCATAAATTAAATATGGTCAAAAACTTGTTTGACCCAGTTTGAAAAATGAAAAGTATCACTAGAGATACATTTCCTACACAAACACTGGTGAGAATTAAAATGTCAGTGATATTTTAATGACTATTCATGTTCATAGTGTGTGTGGTTGTGTTACTGTACCTCCTGCCACCAGTCCCGACTCTCCGAGCTGGATGGCGACTCCGAAACCCCCCAGCTTCACCGGAGCCGAGTTCTCTTTGGACGCCAGCAGCACACAGTGAGGCTGAGAACCAGATAAGAGAGGAGAGAAGATAAGACACATGATTTGATGCTTGTGTTTTGCTAATTAAAGAGCAACACCCTCCTATAAATAAAAATGAAAATGTAAAAAATCGCATGTGCGAGACACACCCAAACCCCCGAAAACATCACTCACCACGACCTCACACAAATAAGCCACACTGAAGGAGGATCACAGAACGAGAGGAGTGAAATACATTTAAGGTTTTGCTTCGGCATCTCGAGCACAGTGTCAGTTTGTTTTAGTCGCAATTTAGTAATTTCAAACCTTTTGCTGAGTTTGTTTTTAACCAAGATGTTTCCAACATGACAGAGAATTAAAAGAAATGAAAATACAGCCACTGCTTGAGGAGAAATTAACTAACGTGCAAATTAAAGTTTTGTTAGACACACTGGTGAGGAGGGAAAACGTTAAAATGCTGCAGTGTCGCATTATTCCTGAAAGACGGATCAATATTTATTTTCCCAGGATGAAGTAACCCAACCATGACTTTTCTGGTTCGCCTAAAGTTAAAGCAGCTTCTTCCATCCTTTCACATACTCTCCGCTGCTTTGAAGCTCATTTTATGTACAACATCTGTGGTTACGAGCAGTTTCTCATGCCTCAAAACATGTGCTGCATGTGCATCTACTGTATACTGTATATACGTCTTTGTGTATGACTTTGATTGTATCACGCAACCATCCTCTGCAGGTGGAGCGGGCTGACGAGAAAGATAGATTTGCATAAGGACTTCTCATCCATGTTCACCTAAAACTGCTGGTTAGTGTCAATTAATATAAAGATTTAACATGTTAAACTAGAAGTACCACCTTGTGGTTGTGTGCCTCCGTGAACCAGTCAAGTTGCAGTTACAGTTTACATCCATGTCTGTGAAAAGTCTATCCCAGACTATGGGGCGAGAGGCAGGGTTCACCCTGGACAGGTCACCAGACTATCACAGGGCTGACACATAGAGACAGACAACCATTCACACTCACATTCACACCGCACACGGAGAAAACCTACGCTGACACGGGAAGAACATGCAAACTCCGCACAGAGGGGCTCCCCCCACCCAGGCTTTAAACCAGGAACCCTCTGTGAGGCAACAATGCTAATCACTGCACCAACTTCACTGTTAAGTACAATTGGACATTGGTGAAAATTTTTGAGAAATTCCCCTGAGGCGTTCTCGACATATTGTGCTCACAAGAATGACACGGACGAGGTCACAGTGACCTTTACCTTTGACCAACAAATTTGAGTCCTTGTTGACTCAAAGTGGACATTTGTGCCATTTTACAGAAATTCCCTCAAGGTGGATGGACAACCCAAAAACATAATGCCTCAGACCACGGCTGTCGCCAGCGCGGTGGCATAAAGTCTCCATGTAACAGCACTCAGTTATCCTACTCATTTGTTTCTCTTATGTAAACCGGTCGAATGAAAACAGTAAGAGGACACTCACTATTAAAACCTTCACCTCTTGTCTGGTTTATTCACCCCATGTGTAAATCTAACTTTGTGGCTGTTAATAATGCTCCTGCTCTGGCGAAGATTTCATAACATGATGACATGATTATCATTCAGAGCAGGTGTGTGGTTCCACATTTAGCTGCAGAGGTTGACAGTAGTGAATGTCTGCTGGATGGCAGTTTAAACCTGGCCTTCCTTCACTCTGAAGGCTGCTTTAATTATCATGAAGACATACACTGGTATTTTGGGAGCCTTTTTCTTTCACAGTTGGCTACACTCAGTGGATACCTCCATATTATAATCAGAGCCCAAAGTGGAAAAGCATATTGTGTATATACAAGTGAAGCATGCTCTGTGATCCCACGGCTTGCCCTCATGTGTGTAATCAGAAGGTCTGCGCTAAGCCCTGCCCTGTCTTTCTCTCTATCTCAGCCCAGGCTCTGCATAGCGGCTGTGAGGAACGAGGGGGGTTGACCACAGCTTCAAGTTTTCACCATACGACATCACCACATTCTGCACTTCAGCATTTCTCTGTAGACTTTCCACGGCACTGCTGGGGAGGGCACGCCTCGCTCACAGAGGAAACAAAAGACAGGCTCCACAGAGAACTGTTCTCATTTGAACTTAATATTTGAATAACAGCAGAGTTAAATACACAATGACAGAAGGAAAGGATCTTGAAACGTGTGAGTCTCTTCAGGACAGCGAATTTTGGATAGCCTTTCCGACAGAGTAAGCTGGAGGGGAATATACCGGAGTGAGTGAAAAGGACCGCAAAAAGCACAAGTGATACTCTCCAGCTCAGAGTGTGTGCACAAGTGTTTTTAATGCACTTCAATGCCTGGGTGAGTACTCTGACAAGTTTTACTTTTAAGTATTATCAACATATCTTAGTTTGTTATCCTGGCTGCAAGATAAGGGCTGCGTGCTGCAGGGTAAGCACGCTGATCTTCTGATACAGGCTGACTGAGTGTGTACCTCTGGTTGCTCAACTGTCTGGGTGTTACAAAACTAGAATTCGTGAGTTTGAGGCTTCTGTAAACTCATCTCTTTTACATAATTCATAGATGAGATAGGACAGAAAATTAAAACCCATACAGAGTTATCAATGCTGTTCTTTCTGTCGGTCAGCTGGTGTTTTATGTGGTTATTAAGGGCAGGATTAATGCTGATTTAGGACTAATCCTTACAGCTGGACCAAACAAACCTGCACTAATCAGTCCAAAACTTCCTCTCTCTTTCTTTCACAGTTCTTTTTAGAGAGTTCCACAAATCAATTTGCAAAGAGAACACCCACTACCACCTGCTGCCACTCAGTGACGTTAAACTGACTCTACTTTATAGAGGAATGTACAACATGGTATCCATGTTTATCAAAGGATACACTATGAAAGACTTTAGTTGATACAAAGCACTCAGTGATGGAAAGTGAAATTGGGAAATGAAAAGCTTTGGTCACAATGAGAGGTTAAACAGGAACAGCGCATCCAGGCCTGGAATTTAAAAACACCACATCGAGGTGTGTCAAAGGTCAAAACATAATGATTTCCATATTTATTCCTGTATTTGTGTGGAGGATTCAACAAAGAATTTCCAAGATCAGCTGAAGTATGGAGTTTCATTTTGGCATCACTCAGCAAAAATCCCGTATTAAACTTTGAACTTTGATTAAAGTCCTCTTGGCTCTGTCTTCAGAGCCTGTGACGAAAGGCTTTGGCCAGTCACAGGTCATTTCAGAGGGAGGGCGTTCCAGCTGGCTGTTCTACAAATACAGATGCTTGTGAACGTCCCTTCAGATGGTGAAAGCCTGATTCGATGGTGGAGAATCCTGCAGAGAAAGTTGTTTTTTCCAATATTGGCAACAACTGCCAACACTGCAAAGCAACTCAAAGAAGGAGTACGACCCGATCAAGAAGAGAGTCTAAGAGAAAACGTTGCAAATAGTTTAGCTTTCTGCTAACCAAAGCTAAAGGCTCACAGCTGCAGCCTTAAGTTCACGTTTATGTAGCTCGTATTAGCTAGAGCTTCAAATCACAGCGTGTCTTCCGCCTCACTACTCGCCACTACCTCACCAGGAGGAGAGCAGGCAGCAGCTCTGGAGACAGACCCCAAGTCAAGCGTTGCAGCAAACCAAATCCAGCCAGCACAAATCCCAGCTCTAGGGGAACGGACAGCCCGAACCCTCTGTCGAACCAGCAAACTTTATGTTGCTGCCATTACAGGTTAGACCTGGCGTTACCTCTGGCCACCAGCCTGCTATGAAATCCAGCACTGGCCAAATTGGAGTCATTACAGCTGCAGACTGAAGCTCTGGAGCTGCTGCCAGCTCTCTTTTAGGGAAGCAGTCCACAGTGGCGGGGAGTGAGGTGAAGGGACGGTGGGGTGGCTAGCTAGCTAACTATCATTTGTGGTCTGATTAAGAGAAAAAGAGTGGGGCAAGAAGGGGCTGAGAGAATGAGCTGCCGACAACTCTACAATAAAATAAGATTAAATAAATCAATTCATGGGAAACACTGGGTTACTGTTTGAAGCATGTGTATATGCCTGTGGTCGTCTGATGGGAGGGGCTAAGGACAAAGAGGGGAGAGCTGCAGGAGGAGGGTGTAGTTTCAAATCCTGCATTTTTTTAATGCCTTCTCCAGATTTCTGCCCACAGTCCAAAACTTTCTCATGAGAAGGATAGAAACAAAAAACAAACCTCAAAACACACTACAGTTAATCTAAAAATATTTGCCTTCTTCCCATTTGACAGGACTGAGGATCACAAAAGCCATCATGACACAAAACATCTCCACCACGTCTGCCACAACCACCTTCGAGACTCCAAACAGCTCCCTCTTGAACTTCACCACAACCCCAGAATCCTGTTTGGATTACGAAGCTCTGCAGATCCCGCTGGCGGTGCTCTACACTGTCATCTTCGTCCTGGGTCTAGTTGGGAACCTGGTGGCTCTGTGGGTTTTCTTCTGTGTTCACTCGAAGAAGAACTCAGTGCGGGTGTTCCTCATGAACATAGCTTTTGCGGACCTGCTGCTGGTGGTGTGTCTGCCGTTCAGGATACTCTATCACAGCCAAGGGAACGAGTGGAATCTGGCTCCCACTCTGTGTAAAGTTGTGGGCAACCTCTTCTACATGAACATGTACATCAGTGTCACGCTGCTGGGGTTGATCAGTGTGGATCGCTACCTGAAGATCCATCGAGGTGCTGGGGTGCAGCACAGATTGAGGTCCACGAGGTGGAGCACCGCCCTCTGCGCTCTCGTCTGGATTGCGGCCTTCTCTTTGACTTTGGTGCTCCTGATGTCAAAGAATCACCCAGAGGGGAAGAGGTTGGTGGTTATCTAATTATTGAGTCTTATTGTTTTGGTCCCAGCATGTGTGATATGAGCACTCCAAGCTGATATGTTTGCTGTTTCCAGGTGTTTCCACTACAAGCCGCTCCACAATGCAAAGTGGAAAGCCTACATCAACATCTTTTTGCTGGTTCTCTTCTGGCTCGTCTTCATCTCTCTGGTGGTGTCTTATGGAAAGATTGCCCTCAAGCTTCTGAGGACATCACAAGAGAAACCAGACCTGCCCAACGCGTCCCGCTACACACGAACCGCCAAGAAGTCCTTCTTCATTCTCTTCCTCTTCACCATTTGTTTTGTCCCCTATCACATGGTCAGGGTGTTTTACATCAAAACCCAGATTACAGAAACATCGTGTTTCTCACAGAACGTGGCGGACAAAGCCAACGAGGTGGCTTTGCTGTTCTCAGCTCTCAACAGCTGCCTGGATCCTGTTATGTACTTCCTGTTGTCCTCTTCGGTGAGGAAGGAGGTGCTGCGCTTGGTGGGCAATATGTTTTGTCTGCGAGATCCTGGTGGAGTCAGCGGGAGCAGCTCCACGGCGGAGCTAGATGGTAAGAACATGAGGACTGACAGAGGACAGACAAACGTCAGCTTTACTAGCCATTTGAAGGAGAAGACAGTTATTGAATCCAGCTAAGGGATGTAGAGGAACTCTGAGACACTGAGCCTCCATCTTTTACGAAGTAAACATGATGGGAGCCAAACTGGCGAGGGAACAGTAGCAGCGGCAAGGAGCGTGAGGCTAACTCAACATGTATGGCCATCTGTGCTGTTGCCTGAGTTGTCAATGGAACTTATCTTAATGGAGTATTCTGAACTATACATCTTGTCATCTACAGTGAACAAATGTACCTGTTATATATATAAAAAAAGAATTACCTGCTTACGTTTTCTACAAACCAGTCAAGTTGTGGTAACCGTTTACATCCATGTCTGTCCAGACTCATATGTAACCATGACAGTTGCAAATGCTTCTAATATGGATGTGGCAGCAAAGAAGCAACAAATTCTAAAACATAGACGCTTCACACATCTTCAGCCCGGCAGCACAAAAGATCTATTCATTCACTGTGGTTTCAGGATGGACATTAAAGATTAGTGTCACCAATTCAGTATCTGACCAAATGCCTCCCCTTCTGTACCTAAAATATGACGTTAAATGATGGGTAGAAATGTGTTATTGCAGTGCATTATGATGTCATATTGAAGTTGACCTTTTGGATATGAAATGTCATCTCTTTATCATGTTTGTCCTATTAAACATTTGTGTTAAATTTTGTCAAAATCAGCTTATGAATTCTTGAGTTATGGCCAAAAACATATTATGTGGGGCCACAGTGACTTTTGATCTTCGACCACCAAATTCTGATCAGTTTGTTCTTGAGTCCAAGTGGACATTTGTGCCAAATTTGAGGAAATTCCCTCAAGGTCTCTGAGATATCACGTTCACAAATGTGAGATTGACACAAAGTCACACTGACCTTTGATATTCAACCACCAAACTCTAATCAGTTTATGTTGAGTCTAAGAAAACGTTTGGTCCAAATTTTACAACTTTTTTCTCAAGATGTCCTTATAATATTGCATCCATGAGAATCAGAGTGAGAAATTTGAAGAAATTCCCGCAAGTTGTTCTTGAGATATCAAGTACACAACAATGAGTTGCATCAGGTCACAGTGACCTTGACCTTTGACCTATGTTCACCAAAATCTAACCAGTTTATCGTTGAGTCCAAGTGGACATTTGTGCCAAATTTGAAGAAAGTCATTCAAGGTGTTCTTGAGATATCACATTCATGAGAAAGGGGCTAATGAACAACCAAAATACATAATGGCTCATGTCGAGGCATAAAAAATGGTGGAGCACCGTCAACCTCATGGTTTGATTATCCTGTCTGAGCTCAGAAAGTGAGCTCGGCTGTGGCTCAGAAGGTAGAGCGGGCCATCCACTAATCAGGAGATTGGTGGTTTGATCCTCAGTCTGCATGTCGAAGTGTCCTTGAGCAAGATACTGAGCCCCACATTTCTCCCAATGGCTGTTTCATCAGTGTGTGAGTGTGTTAAAAAAGTAGCAGGTGGCACCTTGTGTGTAAATGTGTGTGTGAATGGGTGAATGTGACTTTGAAGACTGGAAAGCCGCTATACAAGTGCAGGTCCATTTCCCATTCACAAAATTTCTGACATTAGGTATATGAACTTACTGATGGTGTCGTTTTACAAAAACCTGCCGTGTTAATATTGTGTCATACTGCCTAACCACTTCCCTTTAGCTGAAGCAACAACCCTCTAAAAAGCAACATGGTGAGATCAGAGTTGGTGGATAACTGTTGTGTTGTGTTGCCACCTGTTGTGTACAGGTGGAGACATTAAAGGGACTGGATGAAGGCAGAGCTGCATTTTGTCCTGCAGCCAAATTTACAACACAGTTTCAATATGGCCTCATATATTAGTGGCTATGAAGGCAAGGCTGCAGAACATTTGGGGCTTTGGTGTACTGTATATATATTTATTGGTTATTTGATTCCACTGATCTTGCAGAGACATACTTTTCAATCATGTATTAAAGCAAATGTAACATTTGCTATTGATGGGTTTGGAGTTATCTAACACGACAAGTGTATAATGTCTACAAGTAGGGTTGTAGGGCAACAGCAATTAAACGTTTGTTCTACCAACAACAATCCTTCCATTTGCATCCTTTCAAGGGTCATTCCGACTTTAAATAATTTAAATTCTGTAATACAGTGACACCAAGGAATCGCAATATTTTCTGAGACATTTATCATAAAAATCTCATACCCTTACAAACCTATCTACAAGGCACAAGTCAAGTCTGCTCAATGATTGGACAAGATCGCAACAGAGATATGTAGAGGACACCAAGACTCCGAGCAAGATACAGAATTTCTGATAAACAGAGTGGACGCTGAATGTGACGTCATTTCACGAACACACACAACCTAATAAGAGTTCAACTGACATGAATGCCTCACAGTGTATGAAGATATTTAAACTTCATGAACAATTTAGTGCTACATTTTGTTTTAACACAGTGAAAAACACCAGTCTTTGTACAGAGACTGTCTGACTTTCATTGTGTCTAATCTGTTGTACTTTTTTCTTTTCATTATTATCATTCTGAATTTGTTTCCAGAGCAACACAGTAACCAACGGGAACACACATATGACATAGCACGAGAAAAAAGGGGGAACTGGACTAAAACGAAACAAACAAAACAAAAAACAAAGGGCAAAAGTCCATATTTATTTTTACCACTGTGTTAATGTGATGTAACCAGGAGTTAAGAGATAAAGCAGTGACCACTATTATAAAACTGGTGACCCTCCTACTTTACTCAGATCTGAGGTCAAATAAATCCGAGGACACAATGGACCAAGACGTGACCCTGCAGACAATCAGAGTGCCATTTTTCATTCAGACAAATCCGAAGGAAAAGACGATGCGGACGACATCAAAGCCTGAACTTTCACAACAAATTATGATGATCACAAGCGTACAGAGAACCCAGAGGACCTTTTACTGAGATGAAAGCACGCTGAGGCTTTACCAATAGAAAACCACTCTTTGTTAATGTCACAGCTCTTTTTTTTTATAAGTAAAAAACATGTCCTCCTACTGAGGACTGTGTCCAGACTTTATACTGTGCTTACTTACTTTCAAAGCACATATCACTGTGGTTAGTTATACAGATAAATGTGTTGTAAGATGCTACAGATTCTGCAGAGTGACCAGAGGAAAGAGAAATTTCCGCCCACAGCCGACTCTCTTTGCTGCTCAGCTACAACTAGAACAGCAGCGCCACCCCAAGGCTGAATGAATACAGACAGTGTGAGGAAATGTAACTGGATCACTGGGTATCACTTCTGTGTAGATGAGACTGAAGGAGGGAGACAGTGGACTTTAGTCCTACAGCGAAAAGCTGCTGAAAAGGAGTACAGGGTCTTCAAGTGGAGAGATGGAAACTCTGAATTCCAAATGTGAGGAAATAAAGAGCTAGGAAGAGTCACTATCAAGTTGGGCAACAGATCTGAATACATTACTTGAGGATGATTACAAAATGTGTCATAAGCTGAAGCATGGTGCTGTCAGCGTGCACCGCATTTCATCTAAGACTTCTTTAAATACACAACCACACAGCAGCACCATTTCTCACCCTCATTGTCTATTTTCTGTCAGTATGTCTTTCATCATCACATATGCTAATTGAGGAAGTCCGAACAAATATAGCGTGTGTGACACCAACACACCCACAAACAAGAGACCAGCTCTGAAATGTTTACCTCAACTCAATGAGAAGCAGGAAGTAAGAGAAAATCTTCATGTCAAGCTGGCTGGTGACTTCTGGCGTTACCTTCACCTGTACATGTTTAACTTGAGGGAGTGTTGATGTCTTTGGATGATCTCGTCACTGGTATGTATAACACCATCGGAGTCTGTGTGGGATGCTAATGTGGATATGTGCTCTCATTTGCAAGATGTTGAAGAAAATAAAATGACTAAAATGATACAGAAAATAACTCAATTTTTAAAAAGTAAAACACCTAGAGACTAAATTCCTGGAATATGTTGTAAGTTTTCTTCTCATGCTCTTGTGCAGAGACACAAGAACTATTATTAGGCAATGACTTCAGTAGAATTTTCCATGTACGTCAAATTAAAAGGAAGAGCCTGTACCTCCACTGCAATCATCACACTACAGACATGAAACTAGCTGATGAATATTGCTGATAAAGAGACAGCTCAGATATTTTGAAGTGTGGTTGCATGGGGTACTTACCCCAAAGTCAGTGTATTACCTGCAGTAGATGTCAGTCAGCACGCTCACAGTTCAGAGAAGCAGGCTGGAGTGTGATACAGAAGCTGAGCAATGTGCTGCTTTGAATGGGTCAGCAATGAAAAGTATTTTAGCCATGTAAAAAAATCAGTATCAATTTAAGGCTGCTGTCAGCCCTAGTGTCGTCTCCTTTGGTCTGAATCAGGGACTCCTGTTGTTCCAAAGTTGTATAATTACCTAGAGTTGGTTCATGTTCTCACGGCAGCATTTACAAGAGGACCAGATCAAATGCCTTGTGTGAGAAAGCTGCTCTTGATTGGTCAGAATTTCCATGTGGGAAAAATCCAGGAAGTAAAGCAAACGTTAAAGAAGAGTACACTTGCAAGATAAATGTGACACTTTCTAATGTCACAATGGAGGGACAACTACGCAGGTTGATTTTAGCGCTGCTCATCGTGGACTATATTGCTGTCATTGTTCATTTTAGTCAAACCATACAGTTTGAAAACGAGGCGCGGCTCCAACTAGAAAACAATGTTTTGATGCATTGGATGTGCTGAATGTGCATATTAAGGCAGTACAGGAGGAGGTGCACATTAATAATCCTCCAGGACTGTAACATGCTCATGTTTAACCCAAACAATGTGTCATGTGACTGCAGTTGCTTCACATCCAGGTCGGAACACCTTCTCACCACAAACCAACCGCACCAGAGTTCCTTTGGAACCAGACTGAGACCACCTCTTCAAGAAGGTCTCAGTCTGGTTGTTTTGGTGCCAACTTGAGTTCAATTTAAGGGAACCAAACAGGGCAGGTGTGAAAGCACCCAAGTGTACGCTATTTTGAGAGTATTTTCACTTCTGTACCTTTCCGTCAGACTGTCTATTTTGACAGGAAAGCCATTATTGTCTTCATTTCCCCACCTATGCTCTCGTCAAAGCCAGACTCCATTGACAAAAACAGTAATTCTAACTTGCTGAACACAGGAGCTGCTGGTCTGCGACTGCTTCGATCAGTTAGTTAGTTTGTGTTAAAGTGTGACTTTGATGAATCTGAACTAACCCTTTAAAACACCAAAGTCAAACAATAACACAAACTAACTAACTGATAGAGGCAGCGTGAGACCAGCAGCTCCCGAGTTCAGCAATGTTAAATCACCGTTTTTTTTAATAGAGTCTGGTTATGATGAAAGCAATAGATCATCTTTTCCTGCTGGAAATCACGGTCTGACATTAAGGTGAGGCAGTGGAAATACTCTTATTATAGTGTACACATGAACTGATATTGATTTTTTTTAAAGGTGGGACTTTTTTAGGTGCTAGAACATGTTTAGTTGCTGACCCCTTCATAGCAGTACATTGCATAGTTTCCGTGTCAGACTGCTCCTACAAACTGGGGATGTGCCGACTGTCCCTTTTCTGTGTTGTTAAAGTAGATTTTTTTCTCTTCCCACTTTTGTGTTCTTACAGATGAAATGGAGTACACGTCGGACACTCTTCCAATGGATAACGTTTCCCTCCCCTTCTCTGCTCTCTCCCTCTGCCCCACCACCGCCACACTCTTCTTCCTCCCCTCTGCCTACATGCTCCTCTTCCTCACCGCTCTCCCGGGCAACGCGCTGTCTTTGTGGGTGTTCCGGCGGTGCATCTCCTCCATCTCCCCCATCCATGTTTGTCTGTCCCACCTGAGTATCTCCAACCTGATGCTGTCCATTACCACACCCTTCCTCGCCGCCTACTACGCCTGGGGCTCAATCTGGTCACTGAGTGGCGCCTGGTGTCAGCTGGTCCTGCACGGTATCACCCCGGTGCTCCACATCAACATCTATATTAGCATGATGATCCTCACTTGGGTCGCCCTCAGTCGCTTCGCAGCCCTCATCCAGAACACTCACGCCTCCAGGCCGAGTGGCTGCACGAAACTGCTGCCAAACGCCTTCTTCTCCCATCTCAAAAGGACCTCCTTTGCCACCAGGGTGTGTGCCGGAGTGTGGGCAGTGACAGTAGGGTGCATAGTGCCAATTACAGTTTACTACTCAGTAAAAGAAGCTGTTAGCGTCAACGCTTCAGCAAGAAGTGGATGTGTGGAGGTGTGCTACAGCCCTGATGTGGAAATAGGGGGCAGTCTGTCTGCGACTTTCACCATCCCTGTTATCATCCTGTTCTTTCTGTTCTACCTGCTGGTGCTTCTCTCCTACGTGACTGTGTTAAGGCATATCAGACGCTCACGCCGCAGCACAACCGTCACCACCTCCGTCAGCCTGCTGGGTAGGGTGCTCCGAAACATTGTGGTCATCCAGGTAGCTATGAGTTACATCATACTCTGAAATAACAGCTTTAAAGGAACACTTCACCTCTCAAATGACCATCTGTGTGCCAGTTACTCACCTGTGTTGTGTTGGATTTGTGAAGAAAACTTTTGGTGGATGACAAAATACAAAAATGGAGAAAATTCTTGATGAATTGAAGTCATAGGGGTCCACGTTTAACAACAGCAAAACGATATCAAAACATCTGTTTATGAATTAAACTCGTGCATAATATTCCAAGTCTCATTTATCCAGCAGTATGCTCAGCACTTCCCAGACAGACAGACCCTTCCGAATATTTCCACACTGCTGATTTATTCCCGAGTTAATAACGTCATCTTTGCCTCAGCTGTTTGCCATGTGCCTGCTACAGACTTTCAAAATAAAACCGTAGGCTAAAGATGACGATATGGATCGATGTTTTCACTTTGCATCGATGATATTAGATCGTTGATCATTTAATCGATATATCGATACAGATCGATGGATCGTTACACCCCTTGTAAACAAATGTTTTGATATAGTTTTGCTGTTGTTTCACATGGACCCAAATGACTGAAGTTCATCAAGAATTTGCTAAGTTTTTTGAATTCTTCGTTTATCACTGAAGCATGCGAGAAAAACAGTTTTCTGAAACGTAACACAAGGTGAGTTACTGATAAACCAATGATCATTCGGGGGGTGCATTTGTCACCATGATTATTTCCTATCTCTTGGTTCAAACATAAATCATAAACCACTTCCACCCATATTTCACTCTGCTTTCCACAATCATAACCAGGACTGTCAGTCTTTTAACCAGCTCCTCTCAGGTTGTAATTTCAGTTTGTCTGCTGCCGTACCACATCTTCAAACCCATCTTCCTGTCTCGGACCCATGACCTACGTCAGCTGACATATTCACCTGGTCCCAACACCTGCAGCCACTGTCATCCACTCTCTTCCTTGATCGAGGTGGGTAAATATCACATTAATGCAAAAAAAAAAAAAAAAGGAATTTGCACAGTTACACAGAAACTCATCATCCCGTACCCCCTCTTCTCATCCTCTAGCTGAAGAACTGCCTGTTTCTTCTGGCTGCACTGAGAGGTTCAACGGACCCTCTGATGTACTTCCTGTTAGACAAGACCTTCCGTCATCAAACCCTCAGACTTTTTGGGTATGACCAGAACAACGCTGGAAACCAACAGACGTGTTCGCAAACAGGAAGTACCACTAAGAGGACTGGGCAGCTGCAGGATGGAAATGTGGCCACCGCTACCGCAGACACAAGTCAAGGAAGTGTTTTGTAGGCGGCAAATGTTTCTTTTAAAAGCAGCCTGAAAATGTATAGTGTTCAGAAATATATGAATCGCAGTGTCTTCTTGTGATGTCACTCTGTCTTTTACAAAACCCAAAATAAAAAAATGAAACAATCCACAGGGAAAAAACAGTGTCATGTTCAAGTATACAAGGAAATGTTTGTAAAGCACTCGTCATGTGCAAGAGCAGGATATAAATATTTGATAGGAGTGTGTCATAAACCTTGTTCAGTAATTGCGTCTAAATTATTAAAGCGGCATTACAGAGTGAGCTGCTGTTTGTGCAGAAGGTGTGTGAGACTGCACTGGGAGAGTTTTTAAGAAAACAATGTTCTGTGAAGTGTGGCCCCTGCAGATGTGAGCGCCCCGAGGGGCCGGGGGTTTTCAAACTGAAGCAGACAGCCAAGAGGATCAGACACCGTCGAGTGTAACATACAAACAAACACACACAGGCCAGAGGAAAGACACGCAGCGCACATAAAGACGGAGAGGAGAGGATAATAATGAGTGATGTGCTGAGCTATGGGCGGCTGTCAGAGCCTCTGCTGCCTGTAATATACTGTAGCTGGAGGAAAACTATGAACTGGAAAAGTCCCATCTTTGGTGTCAGACGGAGGCGGACACAAACTGAGGCTTTGAAAATTAAAATAAAAAACACCTTTTTTGCATTTATGTCAAGTTATGACACACAGTGATAAATTTAGTCAGTGTGTCTTTTAAAATAATGATAGTCGGGTTGGGTACCAAACTCTGTGCTTTGAATGGTATTAAATGAACTGTGTCAGTGCTATGGACCACTGAGTCATATTAAATCCACCTGTGCCAAATATCGCTACCAGAAAGTGCTTCTAGGTGAGAATGTCGGGTTAAACAAGAAGCAGAAGTGCAAAGCACCCTGAAACCAGGAATCCAGCCATGGAGCTCCACAGAGCCGCCACAGTTCAATTTCAAACAATAGGTGGACACTCCGCTTGCCACTCCATCAGTCGCTCCCACGGCTGCTCTATCGCCTTCCCATTGAACCAAACTGTCGCTGTAGCTCCTATCTGCTGCGACGGTTTCAGTGTCTGGTCTGTTTTCAACAAATCAACCAGTCAATCAATTATTCATTTGTCACATGGGATTATACGAGGTACACCTCCAGTGAAATGTCATCTATCCTTTAACTTGTGCACTGTAATTTAGTCTTTGTGTCTCCTTACATAATTGGCTGCCGCTTTATAATTGTCCATGTTTCCAGTTGGTTCTGGTTGTAGAATGATTTAACTGTCCACACATCCCATCCTTAACATGATGGCCGCACGGATGCTCCTCTTCAACACGTACTAATGAACCTTCATTAATATAGGCCTATATTTTATCTCCAAGTGCACGTCACACACTGAGCGAGCCGCCTGTTAATGACGCTGTGGGCTAATGGGCATGTAGCTACTTCCATGTTTCAGATGATACGTCATGTTTGTAGTCGACCAATGAAGATGAGTTTACATATCACCTTGGGTTCGTCCTTCACCTTCTCAAAATGATCCCACACTTTGGATTTCCTGCCCGACATGTTATTAACTAGCCTGTGGAATAACCGCAGGTACCAGCCCTGGAGATTAACCTGACTCCTGTCTGACTGCTGAGCGTGGACACTTCCTGTGTCTGTCCTTTCAAAGTCACACATGGTCCAGTCATATAGGTTTGGATTTATTTTGACAAGGTGCAGCGCTTAATAGAGTTTCAGGTTTGTTTGTTGTTTTCTTTCTGCGACTGAGCAATCAATGAAGTCTTGCCAACTAATGACCTTTATGGTCAACTATTAGGGGGGCAGCCTTAATTGTTACATCTCTTAAGTCCAACAAAAGAATCAAAAACATTCATTTTTATATTACAATTGTCTAAACTCTACTGAAATGCTCATTTAGACCTGAAAACAATAAACAAAATCTTTGCATCTTTACCCAAATTTAGATTTTGTATCAAGAGCAGTGTCTCTTTCTGCCTTCTGTTTGATTTATGTTCAATTTAAACATGTTTTTAGGAGCATATCATAATGTCACACCTGCAAATTTAAATAACTTTCCTCAAACACATTACCATACATATTTCTCTTACTAGCTGTAGTATGTGCAGAGCTTCAGTTTTATCGGCGTCTTTCATCCCACTCATGACAGCTGGTCAGTGAGCGAACGCTGATTAGAAACATTTCAGTGACTGACTGTAAAGCTATAAAACATGTGGGAACAAAAACAGGATTTAGTGAAGGAGGTGAATTCTGCCTGTCCCCAGAGGAAATGATGCCCTTGTCTCCAGAAACTTTTAGAAAACATTTCATTTCTCATGTGAAACTGAGTACTGCCGTTCACGTGCACATTTGTTATGCTGTCAAAAGTGAGAGGTCTCTTGCAGTGTATCGGCAGGAAGGGCAGGTCTAATTTAAGTCACACTCACTTACCCTGATTAACACGACCTGTGGAGGCTTAATTGAAAGCATTTTTTCGCTCATTTGCTGAAACCAATTCTTTACTGAATGATTGCGACTGTTATTTAAATAATTTCCCCAATTATTCGACTTCATTACGGATGCCAGCAGCCCGTATCAAAGACTATTACTTAACCCTCTGTGTATTCAGTGCATGTCTATATGTGTGTGTGTGTGTGTGCGTGTGTGCATTCTTGCATTCATTTGTTGTTGTGAGATGAGCAGGAGTCTCCCCAGAGATGGCATTAGTTCCAGTGGCTGTCCATTGTTGTCAAAAGACACACACAATGACTGATTATTGTTTTTGTGTGTTCAGACAAAACGCTTTCAGACATGAAAGATGGTCGCCACCATCAGCACCCTCAGGAGGTGTGAGGCTGTCCATGCTGTGCCAGCTGACAAACAGCAAAGAGCACTTTTTTAAAGTCCTCAGACGGAGAGCATGATCCCGTCTTTATGTTGTCATGAGGAGGTTTTTCAGACACACACCTCCTGTTAGAGAGCAGGAGGATATGAAACTAACGTCACAGAAAGTAGGCTTCACACATATGTAGAGGTGAAGACACACTAGCGCTGCCGTGGCACCTCATGTTTCCTCAGCACACACCGGATGTGTCGCACTGCAGCTCATGAACAGATGACCACACAAAGCTATTACTACTTTTACTTTAAGATCTGTACCTCTTCCTCTTTGTTTAAAATCAAGTGTGTTCAGCCCCTGATTAAATTTGATTTCTTACCTGAAGAGCGTATTTCCAGAGCTATGACTCTCCAGGCAATATCTTTTTGGCCATTGTCTTTAGAATGATGGGATTGTGGGTTGTTTAGCTCGGGTTATTTCTTGACCTCAACAACAAGTCACTCTTGAACCATTCTTTGTCACACACGAGACACAGCAGCAGCTACAGAGTTCTCTTTATACATCCATAGTGAAGAGAGGAGTTGAGCTAACGTAGGAGCAGAGAAAAGGAGCTGCTAGCAGAGAGCAAGTGGAGGAAAAATGCGTTTTAGTTCCAGGACCAGTGAGGCTGGGAATAGGACAGTGGCCTTAAGTGCCACGTCTACAATGAATACAATAAGGGCATATTTTTAAGACGTGCAGTGTTTGCCACCGGTGTGTTTTCGCCTTAAGGCTGCTGGGTACACACTGATTGTTATTAATGCTACGCCTCTTGCTTCTCACATTTTTATGGGCTGCAAGCTGCTGCAACAAGTGTATCTTTAACATAGCTTTGAGATCGCACTACAGAGCAGCTATCCCTCCTTTGTATTTTCACACTGAACCAAACAACAACGGCATCGTGCCACTCCAGTGTGTGATATCAGACATCATGCTGCCATCGCGGAACCAAAAGAGGCGTGACTGGCCTGATGTTTAACACAACAGTGTCAGCCTCTAGTGTAACATTAACATATGTGTCGGCAGCGCTTTATAAATAATAGCAATGGCATAACATGACAATAACAATCATGTTCTGTCTCTGTTACACAGCGGCTGATCTCGTCCTCTGCTCGGAGGGTAAGGAGCTCCAAACCTCATTGTTTTCCCACTTTGCTGATATTTTCAGCCACTGTCTGTTGTTCCTCTGTGAGTTAGCCACTAACTGCTACTTTCTGCCTTTTAAATGTCCCGCAGTAGGACGCACACATAACACATCATCAAAACGTCACACCGGCATAACAGCACGATACTACCACCTTGAACAGGCAGTGCAGGAGGGGCTTTGGTTGACTTTACACTCAAACACCAGCTACAGGCTGCTGATGAGAGCAGCGTCTGTTTGTTGTTTTCCATCATGTTTTTATCACATGAATACACTGTATACAGAATTATTAATGCTGTAGCTCAGAGCTGTTTATACACAGCACAGAAACAACATATGTATCTGGCACTGATTATCTCAGACAAAAGCACAATATGTGAACAGAGACAACAAGCTGGGTCTGTCACTCTGTCTCTTTCAGACAGAAATTTGGACAGTTAGACAACAACTCTGCAAAAACAAAAACAGCTGCAATTACATAACAACAAAAACTGACACGAATGTGACGAGCACTGTTACACAAAGGTGTAATTTTGCCATCAAACCTGGACAGCTGAGACGCATTTAAGACGAATGTATGCAGATCGAGTATGTGTGTGTGTGTGTGTGTGACTGTGAAACCTCAGTGTCAGAATTTCATGGTCAACACCTCAAGGCCCATTGGATGCCATTAAAGCAGCTATTAGCTGTGCTGTGCAGCCACCCATCATCACACAAACAGCACTAACAAGACGGCTAATAGTCCTCTGCGTGTATCGCAGAGCAGAGGGCCATTTTACCTTGTAAAAACAGCTGACATTCAAGTATTCAGCGGGGGGATGAGTCTTCTCTCCATCCATCTCACTCCTACCTATTCATATGGAGAATGTGGCATTCGCTGCGCAGAGGGACTGACACGTAAATACACAGGTAAAATCCATTAACTTTTATCTGTTTTCCAGATCAAACTGACCACCTGTAGGTGATGATGAGGCTTCAGAACAAACCACTCGTGGGGATATTCACTGAGACTGTTGCAAATTACCTAAAAAAAACATCCAATGCTGCAGCTGCGTTGACACGTGTTGCACATGTCTAGAAAGCAACGGAGCATAAAAGGACGTGT